CCCCCCCATTGGATCTCAGTCACAATATGAGCTGTAGATCTGAAAACTAGTGTGCATATAGTTCTCAACGAATGCTGATCAACGACACCACCCGCAACCCGATTGCATGAAGTATAAGAAAGTTATAATGTATGCGTTCTGTCTGCATTGTGGACTTTATAACCCAGGAACGAAAACATTTTATGAGTCGGGGCTAGTTTCATTTTGTAGCTCTACACTTTGGCTATCTGTGATAAAAGTTTCATTAAAATTCAATCAGTCGTTGTGGAACTAGAACCATTTTACTGCAAGGATTGATATGTGGCAAAACCGACCTATCCCATTATGTACTTCATAAATCAGTGAAAGTTTGACAGATCGACTTCAAACTTACAGAATAGATTATCCCACAGATCTTTATTGTTCTCTGAAATTTTCAGTCTTATATCACTTACTAGAGAGAAATGGCACTATGCTCAAGTTCCAGATGTTGTCATTGGTCTAGCTACTCGAATACTCAAGCAATTGGCTTCATCTTTTGGGTACATAACTAACATGTAAAGAGGCACAGTTCTACTAAAAAAAGTTACAAAAATCACTAAGTATCATGGAAAACAAGGTATAAAATTTTACAGTCAATTTTTTCCTCATTCTGACGACCTTTTATTGTTTTGTTTAACAGTATCAAAAAAAACGTTATACAAAAGAATTAAAAGGGATTTGTCTATCTAGTTCAAGTCTGTCAAGGGTCTTCTGATAGTTTTCATCATGATGATGAATCAGAGTAACCGTAGGAGTAAGAACATGAGTAAAAATTGGTATATAATTGTAAAAAGAATAGGAATCCTTATTCTCACTCTCTATCTCCCCCAGCTTGGTCAGAATGAGGAAAAAATTGACTGTAAAATTTTATACCTTGTTTTTCATGATACTTAGTGATTTTTGTAACTTTTTTTAGTAGAACTGTGCCTCTTTACATGTTAGTTATGTACCCAAAAGATGAAGCCAATTGCTTGAGTATTCGAGTAGCTAGACCCATGACAACATCTAGAACTTGAGCATAGTGTCATTTCTCTCTAGTAAGTGATATAAGACTGAAAATTTCAGAGAACAATAAAGATCTGTGGGATAATCTATTCTGTAAGTTTGAAGTCGATCTGTCAAACTTTCACTGATTTATGAAGTACACAATAGGATAGGTCGGTTTTGCCACATATCGATCCTTGCAGTAAAATGGTTCTAGTTCCACAACGACTCATTGAATTTTAATGAAACTTTTATCACAGATAGCCGAAGTGTAGAGCTACAAAATGAAACTAGCCCCGACTCATAAAATCTTTCCGTTCCTGGATTATGAAGTCCACAATGCAGACAGAATGCATACATTATAACTTTCTTATACTTCATGCAATCGGGTTGCGGATGGTGTCGTTGATCAGTATTCGTTGAGAACTATATGCACACTAGTTTTCAGATCTACAGCTTATATTGTGACTGAGATCCAATGGGGGAGGGGGGGGGGACACTTTTGTCGGGTACTGTAGAATAGAGATATGTATATGAGACATTCTATTAGTATTGCTTTGTGATAAGTAGAACTATGAACAGCAGAAAGATCGACTGTTGTAATGTCATTTCATGGTCCCTCTCATTTTTATTTCACATGCCAATAATATTGTCAGTATCGATCAAAATATTGAATGCATTATGACTCATACTAATGTAGAATGATGGCAACGATAATGACTGAAAATAAAAGAATTCTATTACTACTATGTTAACTGAATTATTGAGTAAGATAGACTCAGTATCTCTCGCAAAAATGTTCACAAATTAGATTAAAAACTGTATAATTCCTTATTGTTAATTGGTAGTAGCTGTGTGAAGGCATATTAGTCCTCGATTCGGTTATGAATGAAACTCCTTTTTTTCAGAAACTAAATTGACGCTATCAAATATCACTGTAACTTTCAAATTATAGCAGCAGCTTTAGTGATTCTATACGATCTCTTGCGACATCAATACATATCTGTGCTATTTTTTTTGAGACTACAAATAGTATAAGATTTGAGCAATCTATCCTAAAAACCTCTCTGTCGTCGCTGGCGTCAAAAAATGTATCGACTAACATATCTTGTTCCGTGACAGCTTCCAGCTCAAAAGAGCTAGTCAATCAGGATTACCAGAACTGTGAACTATTCAGCAAACATTTCGATAGTCAAACTGATAAAGTAATTGTTAATCAATTACTCATTGATCATCGATCACTATTCATCACAGACGCTTTAGTCGAAAGTATTATCTTCACTAGTTATGATTAATTAATATTTAATTTATTAATCATTAGTTTAACCAGCTGCCACTCAGTTCAAATGAGCTGAAGTTGTTCAACGACCATCAGCTCTACGAGCTGAAATAGAGCTGTCACAAATCTAGCTGGTATCAAACAAAACGTTACATGATCACGAACAAGTAGCACGCCAAATTTGACTTTACAGACGATATTCGTCATGGTTGCACAATTATTTGCTCAAAAGATGTGGTTTCATACAAAAAAAAATAGTATTTTCACATTTCCTTCTGGTTTTTGACTTAACCAACTGTGATCTAATCTGTTAAAGTGTGGCCAACGTTGGCAGATCGTCTCCGTACGGTTTATAGGCTTTTTTAAATGACTGTAAATATACAGTTATTCGTACGGACTGAATAATGTCTTTGTTTTGCTTTGTAAATATATCCTTTGTTGGCTGACTGGCGATTATTGTTGAGTTCGTACACTTTATTTGAGTCTCAATTATTAGAATCATCGATACGTTACTTTCTCTAATGAAATTCAAGAGATTTTAGAGAAATAAACTGTAAATTTAATGAATTTATCGGATAAGAATAAGTACAACTGTAGGAGGATGTGGGTTCATTTTATCTTAGCCCTCACCGACACCTCACACCTACAGCCACAGCCACACCCTTGAATGTTAGACTATTTCTTAGAAGATACAACATTTTGAGCTGAAATTTTTTCTTAACACATGATTAATCTAACACACATATTTCCTGTGGATAAAGGAAAAGCTTTTATCCACACTCTTATCTATAATATTTTTAGTACGTCATATGTATCTATATATAAATTATTTTATATTAAAGTATATCTTTGGTTAATAATAACATTTTATTTTCATAAATCGATAAACTGATAACAAGTGACCAGAAGAAGGAACTCTAGGTTGATATAACAATTTTATAAGCTTTCAAGTCGAATGCTTTTTTTTTAATTACAAGAATAATTTCAAGAATAAATAAAGAAGCTAAAACGCCCTTGTTTGCACTTAAAATGTACAGATTATTATTCAAAACATTCAGTTTTGGAATATATGTGTGACAGAATAGTGAAGAGTCTGAGCTTTTCTAAGAGCTGTAGTATGTCGAGAAATAGCTAAATTATAGTTTTATCATATGTTTTATATTTGTTTTAATTCGTTCTTTCAAAAAATGTCTATCTGTTGGAAAAAAAAACAATTTTTCTTATCAAAACTATCCAGAACTCTCAGACAAATGACATTAAAGGTAATTATTCATGTTTTGTTGGAAAACTGAATAGAAATGGTTTTCAACATAAAATATATTTTTGTCAATGGACTTGTCTTTGTGAAAAAATATTTGATAAGATAAAATCTTTGTATTAAAATAGGTCAATATAACAAAGAAAAATCTGTATGTAAACTCTCATAATTGTGATATTTTTAGATTCCAAGAAGGTTTTAAAGCAGAAGAAAAATTGTTAATTTTTTTTCACCTTAAAATTCGTTTTCTGTACCAGCCTTATCGAATTTAGTGTTGTAAAAAAATTGAATTTTTTTAAAAATAAGACTTTATCGGATCCTTCGCACTACCATATCTTAAAAAACAACAAAAAAAAAACAATTTATTTACACTAAGATCTCACTGGAAACAGGATTTACTAATTTACCTTAAATTATACGCTATTGTTCTAACTGACACTTGAAATATGATGAAGAATTGAATGAATGTGAATAAAAATCGGTTTTTAAGTGGAACGAGAGGTTTTAACATACTCTTAAGGCAAACAGAAAAATCATATTGAATGGAAGAAAATTTTCAAAAAAATATTATTGTTAGTTTTTGATGAATTTAAGCAAAAAAAAAATTTTTTTGGCTTAATAACAACTTTGTTCGCTTGATTGAGTCTCTAACTTAGGATCAGTCGATTCTTTCGCTGGAAATACTTCATTTGCCCAAAGGTTATTTTCTGATCTTTGGAAATCACCTTCGATGGAGCCAGACACAGTTTGAATTACTGCTTGTTGATGGAATGATGAAGCTATATAGAGAAAAGAAAAAGATTTCATTGAATTAACGAAAATATATCGTACTTGTTTGATCAAATAGATTCTTATTTTTGATATGCATACGAAGAATTTCATCAGGTGGTAATAAATCATCTAATCATAGTATTTCATTTAAATAGAAAAATAGACAACAATATAAAAATTGTTGAACAAACTTGTATCTGCATTATTATCAATTGAACTAAGCTCATGAGAACCATCATAATCACTTTCTGAACTATTAGTTTGATCTAAAAAGAAATAGTATATGAGTTATTATTTATTTCATAAACTATTATAAAGATTTTTTTTTCGAAAATAAGACTAAAAAACAAACCTTCTTCATTACCACTTGCATGTAGCCAAGTGAAATCTTGAGATTTAGTCAAATTCGACAAATTCATTTTACCTTTTGAATAAAAAAATGTTAAACGAAAAGTTAAATTAATTAATATCGAAATATATTATTTAACTTACGTGTTGGGACATGAATTTCGATTGATGATGCAGCATTCTTGATATTATTTGTAACTTCAGAATTTACGTCTAAATATTTATATCCAATATTATCTATTAAGAAATATTAAAACAAGAGCTATATATCACGTTCTGTTGTTGGATCTTTGATAAGATTGTTTGTATTGACATTTAATGTTGCATCTATAATAATTTGAACATTTTATTTATTTATGATAAAATAAATCTGTCAAACATTCTTTAAACTTATCAGAACTCATCTATCATATGAATATCTAGCTTTTAAGGATTCTAAGTTATTATTAATTTTAATCACTATTATTAGGTTGTTTCCAATAATTTTGTAATCGTTTTTATAATGATTTGTATTACTGTACTATTTTAATGATATTAGACTTTTCATTTTTCGTCCATAGCAAAACATGAATCGATTATCTACGACTTTATTTCTTGTTTTTATAACTTTGAAATTCTTATTATTGTATGACAAACAATAGATAATAAAAAAAAAATGTTATTACTTATTAGTGGTAATAAGTTAAGACAAAGGGCATAGTAATAGAAATGATAGCTACAATACGAGATAAGTAGTACTGGAGTTTATCAACTTAGATAATAGAATTAGATCAAAGAAATGTAAAAAGTATTCAAACAGATCAATTGAATGTTTAGAATCTATTTGCGATAGTTTAAGAACAATGTTTCATTGTTACTTTTAACTTTCTAACAGTTATTTAATTATGGTCTCTATAACTTTTCCAAGATCATGTATAATAAGTTCTCGGTCTAGATCATGTTTTCAATGCAATTTTCTTTAAAAAAATCTTACGTAATTACACTTAACCGTTAATATTGATAAGTAAAGAGCAATAGGTATCACTTACATTAGTGAAAATTCTGTTGCAATTTTATTGCCTTAAAGAAAAACGGATTCTTCAATCATGAGAGTCTGCGATCAACCTTTACAGAAATTAGTTATTTTAGTTAAATAGTCTTTCTAGAAGGAAACTATCCAAATTAAATAATACTTTTTTCACGCTAACCACTTAATGAGACACATCCAGATTAAAACTTAATTTCAAATATTCACTGATTTATTGACATTTAATATTATCTAAGTAAATGATAGTTTCTGTTCATTTCTTATTAATATTAACGGTTAAATAGAATCATATCAGATTTATTTTAATTAAAGAGCGTTGAAAGAATAGTCTTGTCCTGAGAATTTATTATACACAATTTTTAAAAAGTTATTCATATATTTATTACTATATTAGTTTTCAAAATTTTTACTACTAACAAAAATTTCATACTCCAGATATTGAATATTAAAATTTATGAACACTACATTTGAAATCACTTATTGATCGAAGCTGCTGAAAATTTGAAAAAATCATCCGTTGAATATATAATAAGCCATTAAAAATATCAAATTATTCAATTTTTTTCTGAATTTAAAATTACTACTTACCATCTACAAGATCTTCCGTTTGTACTTCTTGATCACTATGAGAATAATCTGAAATTTTAAAAAGAATATATACAAAAGTTCTAAACATAAACATAATAGAATATCACCATGCGATCGCGAATCTGAATGTGTTAATTGAAATTCATCAGCCACTAACAGACCAATAATGAATATCATAAATAACGAACAGGAATATTCATAAAGCAAAACAGAACATAATATCAATATTACACAACGCTGCATGGATATGATTGCTTTTTGATGATTATTTTGATACATCGTAGATGTATTGATTTGCTGATCTATAATATAATTTCTAAAAATAAGATTGAATTCATAGAATTAACTATACCTTTGATTTGTTGTCGATGATCTGATGTTTCATTTGTAGTAAGTTTTACATCATCTAAATAGATAGAAAATTTACTTTTAAAAATTTCTCAATAAAGTTTTAATAAATACGAGTTAAACAATTGCCATTCGTTGTTGTTGAATAATTTTTGTCTTTTGAATAAATATGAAAAAAATAAATTCAGATAAAATTTAATATTTAGGATTGATTTTTCATCAAATCCTTCTTAAAATTTCGATATTTACCATTAAACAATGAAAATGAGTCATATTGCTTATTATTATTAAGATTAGATTTACTTTTTTTATTTGACATTTTTAAGTAATATTAATCAAATATTAAATTAAAAATTATAATTTATCTACAATAAAACTAAAATTGATCGCTTTGTACTCTAACAACAACTATGAAACATTGTTTAATTGTATTTTATTATCAATACATCAGTTTTGTTTTTCAAATAATTATCTCTACACCAACACTTTTCTAACAATGATTAAGGGTTTCGAATCATTTCGCATTTATTTTTCTCGTTGACTTTGTCAGAGGATTTATAAAAGTTGCTACTCTTTCTTTCTTTCTTATTATGAAAATATATTTTTATTTCGAAAATAAAAAGAAAAGAACCTTCTCGAAAATAAATCATCAGGAGCCGTCAAGGATAAAAGTATCACCTTTCTAATACAACAAAAAAACAGATTATGAAAAATTTACTTCAAAGAGAAGTGGGATTTTTTTTTCTATGTTCTTACAAGAATTTCATCATAATACTGATAAAATATGATTGACTCTGACTAAGTTATTACAACTTCATGCGAAAAAAAAAATAATAAGAAGAATCTTAGATCATGATATATAGAACATAAATAGTTAGCAAATTTATATAGATATTTTAATTTCATTTTCGAAACGTCTTTAATTAATGTAAATTTATAGAAATCATCATGACTTTATATTATAATAAATATTACCATTATCATACAGTTGAATTATAATGACAGATGTGAGTACAAGTAGTTTATTTCGACATTTACATATATTCTTGTCATTATGAAAAGTAGGAAAAAAGACAGACAAAAAACAAACGATGTTGAACATGAATAAAATGAAACGATCAGAGATGGAATCAATGCATGTTATTTTATAACTGAATTTATTGCATCTCTAGTAAGAAATCGAGATTTTATCCACTAATTTATATTATCAATTCAACAAAGATTCAACTTTAATATGAAAAATAAATAGTTCATATGCACATTATTATCGTTAAGTTAAACTTAAATCGTAGATCGAATGAAACAGCGCATTGAAAAAAAAGGGAATTAAAATTTATCTCTCGATAGATTTTCAATATCAACATTCAAAGAAGATCTCATATAAATCTATTTTCTTTTAAAAAGTATTTTACGAAAGTAACAATGCATACAAACTTTGATGAAAGGTTTGCATATTTTAATGTTATTTTATTCTAACATGCTTTTACTCTACTATTAATTTAACATATTATGTCTTTCATTAATTCTATTCGATTGAATACTCTATAGATCTTTAGCAAATATATATCAGTCTAGCCAAAACTAGAAATATTCAATTCAATATATTAGAATTGTTTATAGATGTAAAGTAATTGTTACACAGGAAGCTACTCTATGTGTTAAGAATAATTATTAATTTTTTACAAATAATTCACTATAACTAATTGCCTAACTAATTATCAATAATCTCATACACATAGAATATTTTATCAATTAAGACAAAAAAAAAACAGATATTTTAGATTTAAAAATCTAATCCAATTTCATTAACAGATTTTTAATCAAGAGTATTTCTATCTATAGAACAGATTTAGTCGAGTCGAACCGAACTCGAACTACTTCTTAAAAACTGACATTAAACTGAACCAAATCTAACTAATTTTTGAAAGACGAATAAATAAGAATAAGTATATAAGAAAAATGATTAACTAAGCTTTAAGTATTTTTGTAGAATTGTGATACTGTATGGGATTATCAAACGATTTTTGATCGAAGATTTTATATTGGAAATTGTGGACGATCAATTTACATTTACAAAAATTTATCAAGTCAAGAAATAAATTGTAAAAGATTTCATTTGATTTTAAATTTAAATTGAATTTATATAAAATTTTCAAAAAAAATTCAATAAACTCAAAATAATTTAAATTACATCTAAATATATTTGAAATATTTTAAGCTCCATTTTAATTAATCTTTACAAGTATTTTTATTACTATTAGAAAGTAACAGGAACGGAGGGCGGTCGTTTTCTTACGGAATCTTCTATAGTGATAATCAGATGTTAATGTATAATAATAGTTTCTCTCCTTACTTTTGATCTATTTTTCTTGAAAACATATATTTTGACGATTGGATTGTTGAATTTTAATTCATAAAAATTTGTTATTTCCACAAATTTTTTTTTATTAAAAATTTAAATCTAAAACAATTATAAATTTTATTCCACGTGATAATTTAGATTTATATTGATAACAATTTTAGTTTAAAATAAACTTAAAGAAAAATGCTACACCTGTCAGGGACTGAAAATGAACCGAACTCGAATTTGTAAAAGTTGATTCAATTCGGTCTCTACTATAGAATAAATAATTGACATTCATGCAAAATCAAGAAGTACAATAATAAATAAAAATACACTATTACTACGCGCTGTACGAATATATAAAATATTATTTTTAAACAGAAATGGAAAATTATGTTACCTTTTTATATGGCGCAATAGCATACTTCCGATATACCTGTAGTGATTAATATTTGTATTTTTTGCTCTTCTTTGATTAGTCACACTTTCCCCTTGTTTCTCTTTGTATTGTAAAAATGGTAGAAAAAAAATATTCTTCTCTGTCTTTTCTTTATGCATCTAAACTTACCAAATAATAATATTACAGTCTTGCAAAATAATCATCTAGAATATTGGCAATTTAAGAAACAAAAAAAAAACACGAAATCGCACAACTTTTCAGTAACGACATTGCGTATTGTTGTATTTTTCTGGCGAAAACAAATATAAAGACCCTTGATTTTTTAAAATATTTATTCTATTACATCGAATCAATCATTAGTATATATACATTTGTTTAGAGATTTGTATTGCTTCTGATGAGTACTGGAATTAATATTAAGATGAATAAGTCGATCAAAAAATAAACAACAACACTAAGTATTCATTTTGATATAGAACTTTTCAAATGGATGTAGGGTGACATAAAAATATGTAGCGGACGTAGAAATAAATGAAAACTATAGAAAATAGATCATTGACAAATGAATTCATTTGATATAATTAAATCTAAAATTAGTCAACATATTTAATGCATGAAAACATATCTGATAATTATGGACTAAAAGTCAAACTGTTGAAAGTATTATTTCTTTTATTTTGTAAAGTTTCTTCATTAAAAAAAAACTATCGATTTCAAAGACCTTTTCTTATTCCATAGCAATTTTCAAATATTTTATAATTTGCTAAATCAAATAGGTGTAAATTAATAAAATTTTTCTTTTAATAGGGACTTGTCGTAAATCGTAGGATTAGTTTGAAAAAGAAGAAGTCAAACTGGCTAATCATAATATCTGGATATCACGAAAAAATCTCTCAACTTTTGGCAGACGATAGTATTAAAGTTTTCAAACACATTGGCAGTAGACAATAGTTCAAAACAATTCAATAATAAAAACTGTTTCCAGATATATTCAAGTCGTGTTATGATATATTGGCAAAACAAGTAAATATCTCTTTATTATCAAAATGTACCTATCTGAATAGCTTTAAAATACCTATCAGATGGCGTTTCTTTCATTTCTTGTTCGATGAATAAATTTGCAAGCCTGAAATGGTTTCTTCGATGTTCTTTCAGCATTCTTAGAACCATGAGATAATAACACAACATGCTTTCCAGTTCGAGAGACATGTGCGACACATTGATCTATCTGTGATGTGTATGAAATTTAAACTCAAAGTTCAAAGCAATTCGAACGTTTATTTCAATTTTATTGTTGAATTTCGAACATTTTACTTTTTCTTAGCTATCAAAAAAGCATACAAAGAATACAATATATGTGAAATATTCGCCTCGAAATTATAAGATGAGGGAAGGACTCTGACAAGAGAATATAACATGATCAAAGAAGTGATCAGATGATTTTTGAACAATAACATTGCAAGTTACTCTTAAAAAAAAACAACAAACTAAATACATTAGATGTTTTATAGACAAATAATGTAAAATTGATTTGAAACTATTAAAGACTCTTTGGATGAAAATTTCAGAGACTGATGCTAAAAATCAGTTACTTTATTATGTCTAAATGAACTATAGAACAATATATGAATTCGAAAATGAAATTTCGTTATTTACAATGAAAACATAGGAATATTGTACTGTACATAATAAGAAACGCCTTTTTGTGCTGCAGGAGCTACATTTTTTGTCATTCTACTGGTTGCATTTATATAAACAAATAGCAAAAAAAAACATTACATGCACAATGAAGAAAAAAAAAGAAATGAAAAATAAAAAATAACTCGTTTAAAACTGAATTGAAATATGGGTGCTACATTAATAACTACTAAAAAAATAATAAATTGGTTATTTAAATCATATTATGATTGCATAAGTTAATTTTTTTTTTGCCTAAATGAGCAAAAAAGTTTGGTAATATCAGACAATATGGTTTCAATATGATTAAAAGAGAAAAAATAAGTTACTTGTTTGAAAAGATAGATAGGATAAACTTTGGACCTTTGTGATATTGTTTAGAATGTCACGTTCTTAAATTTGCAACTGTTGAATTTTCAATAGTCTGCCTGACTTTAAAGAATGCTGTCGAATGTTCTTATGGAGAAAATCCATATGATACTGGTTAATTCTTGCTAGAGAACTTGCATTGGTACTTAAGGGTGTGGGTGTGGGTGGTGTGTGGGTATCAATTTACAAGCTACAGCTACACCCACACCCACACCCGCACCCACCCACACCCACCCACACCCACACCCATCCACACCCATGCCCTCACCCACACCCACACCCACACCCATCCGCACCCACATCCACACACCCACACCCACCCACACCCACCCATACCCACACCCACACCCACCCCACACCCACCAATACCCACACCCACCCCACACCCACACCCTCAGAAGCGAAAGATTCTTCATCCTTACACGTCTAGATCCAGAAGAACTTAATGAAACTTATGAGTTCTGTCGACTTTTTATCTTGGTCAAGCGTTTATAGCAGCACTACTTGTCTCGATCATCTCCGATCTCAA